TTTATCCTTTTTTTTGTTATTTATTTTATTAACATCATATACTTTTTTTTATGATTTGTAACAAAAAAATCTAATTATTTATAGTTATAGTAATAATACTAATAATAATACTAATAATAATAATAATAATAATAATAAAAATAAAATAAATAATAAAAAATAGAATAAAAATAGAGTGTTAACATCATTTACCTATTAAATAGTAAAAATAATAAATAGTATAATTAAAAAAATTAAGTAAAGAATTTTAAAACATTTTTTTGTTTTGTTTTGTTTCATAATTATAAAAATAGAAATGAATCTTAAAATTTTCATTATATAATTCATATTCACATTTTTATTTTCTTAAGAATTTTTCTATGAATTTTTTATATTTTCTACAACTCTCATGAAATATTTTGATTGTATAAAACTGTCACGTATATATATATATATATATATATATTTATATTGCATACACATACACATATATATATATATATATATATATTGCACACGAGATTAAATATCGCTTAGATGGCAAAAGAAAATAAATGAAAAAAAAAATGAAGAGAAAAGAAAAAAAATCGGAGTAAGCGGCAACCACGCTCAGATTTTTCTCTTTTTCATTCTATTCCATTTCCCCTCTCTCTGGAAGCAGAGAAAAAATCTCAAGTGGTGGAGCGAGCGAACTGTAGAGAGTGAGTGAGAGAGAAAGAGAAATAAGAGAAAAAGAGAGTGAATATGGCAGGGGGAGTTGGGAAACAGCCTCTCGAGGACCGGTCGCCATCTTGCTTTTAAGTACAGTCAAGTACAGCACCTGGTGGTAAAAAAATATGTATTTCTTTATTTTAATTATTATTTTAATTATTATTATTATTATTATTATATATTGCAAATACAATTTATTTCGTTCAATTTAATACCAAATGAACATTTTCTTCTGCAAAAAATCTTTATCTGAAACAAGGATATATTTTTCAAGAGTAGCGGAAATTTTCCCTATTTTAATGATACATATTGCTGTTTCAGTGAAATTTATCGCTGTTTTAGGTAAAGGTTTTTTTTTCGTGTAGGATGTAGATTTTTTTAACGGGGGGGTGGGGGGTTAAATTAGTTTTGGTTCCAAATTTATGAGAGAAGATTAACTATTCATTGAAAAAAATTTGGTGCAGCAGCTGTTCCAAACGAAAAATTTCTATACAGTAGTATAGTAATATAGTCGTAGTAGTAATATTAGTAGTAGTATTCTTAATATTTAAATGATACTATTATTATTATTACTATTTATATAGAAGAAGAAAACCCTAAATTTTTGTCACAGTAGTTTTAACATATATATAATATATATATATTTTTTTTTTGGAAAAAAATAGTATTGAGATAAAAATTGAGAACTTGAAAATATCTCCTGAAGTATGTATATATATAATGGAAGCAAATTGAAACTTGATGTTATAATGTTTATGCGAAATTTTTTAATTTTCTTTTTTTTTTTACTTGACTGATTTTTCAAGTATACAATATATATATATATATATATATATATATATATATATATATATATTATAAGTAATGGAAGGCTCGTGTCGCAATCCTTATTATTAAAGTGACTCTTAAAGAAGATTTACATAGACATCTTGGAATGATTTTGAATAAATAGAAACGGCTACCGTACATATATATACTAAAGTGATGCTTCGAACCTTCGACCAACATTGATGAGGCCTCGCATCGTCTCCGCGCTCACAAGAGATCGGTATTAGTATTAGGCATGCCAAACAGAAGCTGAGCGTACCTGACAGGTCGTCCACTCAGCTGTATCAACATTGAGTACACGACATTCCTCTCCTGAATTTCGCTTCACTGTCTTGATGTTTTAACTCTATACATGTCTATATATATATTTTCGAATTTACGAAAGTGTAAAAAATACAAAAAAAAAAATACAGACGTTGGAAACTCAATTCTATATATATATATATATATATTTACGAGTGACAAGGTTTAAATCTCCCGATAATATTTGAATTTGCTTTGCAATTTGAATTCAAAAAAAAAAATTGTATTTAATATTGAAATGGAGTTGAAATATTACTGGAACTATTTTAAAACTACGTTGAACTTAATTTGAACCATTAACCTATATTGAACCTCTGTCTTAACCTTTCATTGAAAATATTTTTGATTTCTACATTGAAACTACTTTGAATCTATATACCTAAAATTTATGTTAAAACTACTTTGACCTTACAGTTAACTTATTTTCAACCTGAATTTATAAACTATTTTCAGCTTACAGAAAATCTACTTTAAGTGTAACTGAGATTTATATTAAAACTACTTTGACCCTAAAAAGTTAACTTATTTCTAATATCAATTTAAACTACTTTGATCTAACACAGAAACTACCCTGACCCTATACGTTTCACATACGTAGAAACTACTTTGGCTCTACATTAAAACTACTTTGACCCTAAAGTTATAGCTTAATTTTAATCAAAATTAAAACTACTTTGGCCATAAAGTTAACTTATTTCGAATCTTAATTGAAAATACTTTGACTTATCGTAGAAACTACTTTGACTCTACGTTTAGTCTACATTAAAACTATTTTGATCATACGTTTAACCTATATAATAAAACTACTTTGGCGCAATATATGTAACATAATATTTTTGACCCTAATACGTTTAACATACATTAAAAATATTTTATCCCTGCATAGAAACTGCTTTGACTCTACATAGAAACTACTTTAACCCTACATATATAACGTACATTGAAACTACTTTGACTCTAAAGTTAAGTTATTTTGAATATAAATTGAAACTATTTTGAGTAAATATAGAAACTACATTGATCCTATATACATTTAACCCACATTAAAACTACTTTAATCCTACATAAAAACTACTATGATCGTAGAATTAACTTAGTTTTAATCTTAATTGAAACTAATTAGATCTTACACAGAAACTACTTTGACTCTACATTAAAACTACTATGACTTTATATTACAATTACGTTTAATCTACATTAACACTGCTTTGGCTCTACATATAACGTACATTGAAACTACTTTGACCCTAAAATTAATTTATTCCTAATCTAAATTTAAACTACTTTGACCCAACATAGTAACTACTTTGACCTTGCATAGAAACTATTTTGACTTTATATTGGAAATTACTTTGACCCTACGTTAAACCTACATAAATACTACTTTTGATCCTACATAAAAACTATTATGGCCCTAAAATTTACTTATATTTTTAATCTAAATTGAAACTACTTTGACACCACACAGAAACTACTTTGACTCTACACTTATACTAGTTTGACCCTAAAGTTAACTTATTTTAATCTATTTGGAAACTACTTTGACCCAACATAGAAACTACTTTGTGTCTACATTTATACTAGTTTGACCCTAAAGTTAACTAATTTTAATCTATTTGGAAACTACTTTGACCCAACATAGAAACTACTTTGTGTCTACATTTATACTAGTAGGACCCTAAAGTTAACTAATTTTAATCTATTTGGAAACTACTTTGACCCAACATAGAAACTACTTTGTGTCTACATTTATACTAGTTTGACCCTAAAGTTAACTAATTTTAATCTATTTGGAAACTACTTTGACCCAACATAGAAACTAAGTTGACTCTACATTTATACTAGTTTGACCCTAAAGTTAACTTATTTTAATCTATTTGGAAACTACTTTGACCCAACATAGAAACTACTTTGTGTCTACATTTATACTAGTAGGACCCTAAAGTTAACTAATTTTAATCTATTTGGAAACTACTTTGACCCAACATAGAAACTACTTTGTGTCTACATTTATACTAGTTTGACCCTAAAGTTAACTAATTTTAATCTATTTGGAAACTACTTTGACCCAACATAGAAACTAAGTTGACTCTACATTTATACTAGTTTGACCCTAAAGTTAACTTATTTTAATCTATTTGGAAACTACTTTGACCCAACATAGAAACTACTTTGTGTCTACATTTATACTAGTAGGACCCTAAAGTTAACTAATTTTAATCTATTTGGAAACTACTTTGACCCAACATAGAAACTACTTTGTGTCTACATTTATACTAGTTTGACCCTAAAGTTAACTAATTTTAATCTATTTGGAAACTACTTTGACCCAACATAGAAACTAAGTTGACTCTACATTTATACTAGTTTGACCCTAAAGTTAACTTATTTTAATCTATTTGGAAACTACTTTGACCCTACTACATAGAAACTACCTTGACTCTACATAAAAACTACGTTTAACCTCCATTAAAACTACTTTTACTCTATATGCAAACGAACATATATTGAAATTACATTGACCCTACGTTTATCCTACATTAAAACTACTTTGACCATATACATAAAAATTTTTATGTATGATCAAAGTACTTTGATCCTATAATAGAAACTATACTTTGACCCCATATGTAAGTTTCTATACCTTTTGAACAATTTTATGACCACTCTAGGTGACTTAATTTATCATTTTTTGTTATTCATCATTAATATAAAACAAACCTTTTTTTTGTTGAAACGCCTCTTCTCTTCTTCTTCTTCTTATTAATAAAGTGCGCGACTCATTAAAATTCAGAGAGTTCCTGCAAAAAATAAAAATTACTTTTGGATAACATTAATCAGTAAAAAAAGTTTTTCAGCTTTAAAAGCCAGAAAATTACATGGCAACATAACCTAAAAAATGGTTTTTATTTTCTAAATTTGTCTCTTTCAGTCAAAATAACTATTTTACATATATGAGAAAAGTACTTTTTTAACATGTAGGAGTTAAATTTACAAAATAGAAACAATTTTTAGGTTATGTTACCCTTTGATTTTCCAGCTATAGTAAATTTACGTGTTGAAAGTTATTTTTTTTCTAACCTTAAAGACCGATAATTTTATTTTCCCTTCTTTTGTAAATATAGTCAAATATTAATCGCACACACTAATATAAAAATATAATAATTTATCTGTTATAGAGTTCAAGTTCGCCGAGACGTGTGGCAGTACCGGTTCTTGTTAAAGATGGTAAACCATGTGGAAGTGGTGGCGGTGGTAATGAGGGTAGTAGAGGTGGTCCATCGGCGGCACTTGCAAGTCCTGCACCCCATATGACAACAGCCTCAAGCCCTCATGGTACACATCATGCGGCGTCAGTCGCTCATCATTCAGTGGTTGGCGTAAGTCATGTAATGAGTTCGAGTCAAAGTCTACAGCATTGTTCATATTCAAGAACGGCGGCACAACAAACAATGCAACAACAACAACAGCCACAATGTAGCGCTTATCTACCATTACAAGGTAGGGCATGGTAGTGCGCGCCGTCCGCGGCGGGGGCAGCGGCCTACGCCAATCCCTCCGTCACTGGCCCCTGGGCCCTCGCCGCGGATCCAACCGCATGGTACGCCATACCCGAAGACAGTCCGTAAAATTGCGCCTTTTTTATTGCGTGTATATATATACAAATTAAGGTACACTTTTCTCTAATTTTTATTTTCTTTTTTCTTTTTTTAATTTTTAACTTTTTTTTCAATTTTTTATTGATTTTAACCCGTTGCCTGTCGCTGACGCATATATATGCGTAAAACTATAAAACTGGCCAAAAGTGCGCTCTTTACGCATATATATGCGCAACTTAAAAAAAAGTGATGAAAAACATCTCAAATATTTCTGAAACTGGTTACTAGGGGGATTTTTGGGGTCGCTGATTCCGAAGCTGAGGTTGGTTTTTCAAAATTCAAAATGGCGGATCCAATATGGCGGACGATAATTTGAAAATATGATACAATTCGCTTGAAAATGGTTACCCAGGGGTTTTCGGAGTCGCTGATTACGAATCTGAGGTCGGTTTTTCAAAATTCAAAATGGCGGATCCAATATGGCGGACGACAATTTGAAAATATGTTACAATTCGCTTGAAAATGGTTACCCAGGGGTTTTCGGAGTCGCTGATTACGAATCTGAGGTCGGTTTTTGAAAATTCAAGATGGCGGATCCATTATGGCGGAAAATTTTTCAAAATTGATCGGATTCGACTACTGAAGCTCGTTGAATTTAAAATTTTAAAAAACTAACATGCGATTCGTAATCAGCGACCCCAAAAAGCCCCGAGTACCCATTTTCAAGTGAATTGCATTATATTTTCAAATTGCCGTCCGCCATATTGGTTCCGCCATTTTGAATTTTGAAAAACCGACCTTAGGTTCGTAATCGCAGCTACCCTGAAAACTTTAAGATACCAAGTTTCATAAAAATGTATTAAAATTTTTTTTCAACACACTTTTGGCCCAAATAGTGGAAATCTCGTCGACAGTCAAGGGGTTAAAAAAAAAAATTTTAAGTATTTTTTATTAAAAACCTTTTTTTTATATTTCTTGAATTACACCTAATATATATACGTTTTCAAACTCGAAGAAAATATGACGAGAAATAATTCCTTGTTTTTTTTTTTGTTTACTTATAGTAATACTCGGTTAGGGTACGTCTACAATTCATTGGTCGATGGGGGGGGGGTCGTCATGGTAACGTATAAGAGTGAGAGAAGCAGAGAATGTTCTTTATTTCTCTCACTCTTATACGTTACCATGACGACCCTATATTTAGCCGCAATTATTGTATTTAAACGCAACTGCGCATGCGCGACGAGAACTTTCTTATTGGCAAAGAAAAAGCGCGCGTTTATTTGAAATGCTTTTTTTTTGAAAAAACGTTAATGAAGCAATATAAAAACATTTTCAATATTGAATTTAATTTTTTTTTCAGTTAATTATAATATTTTCTAATCAATGTTAATTTTCTTAACGTACTTAAGTATATAGTAAAAATAAATAACAATAATAATAATAATAATAATGTTACTAATTTTAGAAGGACTTTAGTTGCAAAAAAAAATTTAGGTTATGTTTATTAATAGTTGTACCTTGATTAAACGTTCGCTTTTAATTATGTAAAATTATTATTATTATTATTATTATTTTTATTTTTATTATTGTTATTATTATTATTATTATTATTATTATTATTATTATTATTATTATTATTATTATTACTTTTTATAATATTATAATAATAATAATTATAATAATTTTATAATATTATTTATTTTATTATATACTTAATAACGTTAAAAAAAATTAATATTAATTAAATTAAATTTTCTAAAATTATTTTTTGAGTGTTTTCAAGTGAATATAAAGAACATCTTATAAATTACAAAAAAAAACGAAAACCCGTCCTAGAAAATAATATATATATATATTCTATTATACATAAAATTTAAATAGTTTTCACAAGTATATATGTCGTAATTTAAAATAACTTTGAAGTATTTTCGAAAAAAAAATACACGGTCCATTTTTATATTTTGGATATATATATATATAAATAAAAAAAATATATATACGATTTTGTCAAATTTTCAAAAATTCACACGATGAAATTGTATTTTGTAAATATATAATACACACGCACTTTTTGACCAATATTTAAAAAAAAAATATATATATATACGCTTAAAATTTGAAATTCACTCAAAAATATCTAATTTTTCAGATTGGAAAAATTTTTTTTTTTATTTTGAAAAAAAAATAAGATTTTTTTTGTCAAAAAATAATTAATCAGTTAGTTAATTAAAATTATTGAAATTTTTTAATTTAATTTTCCGTATTTTTTTTCTCAATTTTATTGAAATTTTGAAAAAAATAATTCAAATTTTCCGTTTTTATTTTTCTTCGAGTTTGGAAAAATATATTTTTATTGGTTCGAATTTTCAAAATGGAATTTTTGGTAAAAGAAAAAAAAAAAGGAAATTAATTTTTAAATGAAAATGTCAATTCTTTAGTAATAATTGAAAAATCAATTTTTATGAGTAGAAAAAAAAATATTTTTTTCTTCTTTTTTCAAAAATTGAACCAAAATTATTAAAGGGAAATTCCATTTATATATATAAATATATATAGAACCTCGATTGAAAAAAAAAATAATAAATCAGCGTGCAACGCGTTTTACTGCGGCCACTCGATAAAAATAAATATGTAACATATATATATTCGATTTAAAATTCGAATATTATCGATGAGGCTCACAGTTTTTATAGAGAACATTCATTACACTTCTAGTTTTAATAAAAAAAAAATTTTTTTTTAAATATCGAAAAATTTTTGTAAAAAAAAAAATGAGAAAAAAAATGGAATTATTTCACTTTATTTTGTCAAGCGGAACCAAGTTCACTTCACAAAAGTAATTATTGTACATTTTCTCTACATATGTATATGACAGCAATTTTTTTTTTTTTTTTTTTTAATTGAAAAAATCTAGATGGGAAAAAAATAATTCATATACATCTCCATAAAAATGGAATTTAGCAAATTTTTTAATTAAAAAAAAAAAAAAAAAATTGATAAAAATAATTTTTCTATTTTGAGAAAAAAAAATACGAGTAATCCAATATAATTGGATTTTATATATATTTAATGAAATAAAAAATAAATCAGGACAAAATTATATAAAAATAGAAAATTTTTTCTAAAAAATTTCAAAATGTTTTTGTTTATATATATAAAGAAATTTTTTCTATTTCTATAATTTAATTATGGATTTTTTTATTGACAAAAAAATGGGACGCATGATTATGTTTTAAAAATATAGTAAAGAATTTTCATTTTATGAAATTTCCATTTGTCATATAATTATTTTTGAGACGAATTTTTATTTGTCCGAATTTTGCAAATAGCCAAACAAAAACAATCGATTTTGGCGCAATTTTTAAAATCAACCAATAACAATTTTATGAATAATTTTTGATTGGTTGATTTTGAAAATCGCGCCAAAATTGATTGTTGTTTCGGACATTTGCAAAATTCGGACAAATAAAAATTCTATCAATTAGAAATTCTGTTAAATGATTTTTCTGTTAAGTAAAAATTCTATACAGAAAAAGTCGATTTTGTGTAAATTATATCAAAATAATAATTTAAACAGATGAAATTTTATCTGAAAATTAAATTTTGTGCAATGAAATTCTATGCAGTAAAAAATTATTTAAAATGTCTATTTATGTTAAATAAAAATTCGAACAAATAAAAATTCTGTGAAGTGAATTTTTTGGTTATATAAAAATTTTGTATTATAGAAAATCGTTTTGATGAAAATTCTGCAAAATACTAATTTGAACAGATAAAAATTCGGCTCAAAAATAAATTATGACAAATGAAATTTTTATTTGTTTGAATTAGTATTTTGCGGAATTTTCATCAAAACGATTTTCTATATTACAGAATTTTTATATAACCAAAAAATTCACTTCACAGAATTTTTATTTGTTCGAATTTTTATTTACTCGAATTTTCATATTTAACATAATAGGCGCATTTTAAAGAATTTTTATTGGGTAGAATTTTTCATTGGATAAAATTTTCATTTTATTGTTACAGATGGATTTTGCATTTGTTCGAATTATTATTTGATTGAATTTCCATATAACCGATTTTTCATATTACAAAATTTCTAATTTGATAGAATTTTCATTTGTCCGAAATTGCAAATTTCCGAACAAAAACAATCGATTTTGGCGCGATTTTTAAAAATCAACCAATCAAAAATTATCCATAAAATTGTGATTGGTTGATTTTAAAAATCGCGCCAAAATCGATTGTTTTTGTTTGGCTATTTGCAAAATTCGGACAAATAAAAATTCTATCAATTATAGAAATTTTGTTAAAATGATTTTTCGGTTAAGTATAAAAATTCTGCAGAAAAAGTCGATTTTGTGGAAATTCAATCAAATAATAATTCGAACAAATGAAAATTGATCTGTAACAATAAAATGAAAATTCTATCCAATGAAATTCTACCCAATAAAAATTCTTTAAAATGCGCCTATTATGTTAACTGAAAATTCGAGCAAATAAAAATTCTGACAAATAAAAATTCTGTAAAGTGAATTTTCAGTTATATATAAAAATTCTGTAATATTGAAAATCGTTTTTTATGAAAATTCTGCAAAATTCTAATTCGAAAAAATATAAAATTCGGCTTAAAAAATAATTATAACAACTGCAAAATTCCATTAAATGAAAATTCTAACTAATGATTTTTAAAACATATTCATGCGTTCCAATTAGTTTATTTTTTGTCCAGATTTATATTTTGAAAGAGCCCTTGAAAATTGGTAACTTCCGTTAGTGGGTTGGAATTATGTTAATTTATAAATTATACGGAAAACCATATACACCGCAAATCTGTGACGTCAGATAGGAGGATCAATTTTGCAAAACGAACTCTCTCTCTCATTCACTCGAAAGTGGCCACTGTGCATAGTAATTTAGTGTGACACACTCGACCATTTATATAGCGCAAAACAGGCGAACCATGCGTCTCTCTTTGTATATATATACATATATAATTGTATACTACACATTTTCCATGTGAGAAAAGCCACAAAAACCGGCATAATTTTTCACGATTCACGGAGGGAAATTATAAAATCAAAAATTAATTTTTTCTTCCCTGTTTTTTTTTTAATTCTTTAATAATTTTAATTACAATTTTTCATAAAATTGGGAATTTTTAACAATTTTTTAAATTTATCTTTCAATTATTAAAAATTTTTTTTAATCAATATTTTAATCACATTCTGATTAAATAAAAAATAATTTTAAAAAAAGAATTTTAAAAAAAGAATTAAAAAATACATTTTTAATTAAACTTTTCCATTAATTATTAAAATTCTTTTAATTATTAAAAAAATTCTTAGAAAAAAAAATTAATTTTAGATATCAATATATTTAATGACAGAATTTTCAATTTTTGCAACACACAAAAAAAAATTGTATTTTAAAATTTTTACAATTTTTGTATAATTATAAAAAAAAATACCTAAAAAGTATTTTTTTTTCGCATAAAATTGAAAGGAAAAAAAAAACAAAATATGTCATATAATAAATATATATTTTTTTTTTTTTTTAAAAAAAAGGGAATCGTGAAAATATGCTGATTATAATGGCTGTGATAAATACGAAATCACACACGACAAAAATATTTGTAAATAATTAATTGATTATAATTGATAAAAAATAATTAATTTTTTCGGCGCCGTTCATCTTCGTATATATCACTATATATGTATACGAATTTTAATAAATTCGATATATATATATACGGTATTACTATAATGCGTATAACGTTTAGCAAAAGATTGAGCAGCACCTAGCGCATAATTATAACGATTAAAAAAAAAAAATAAATAAAATAAAAAAATTAAAATAACCACGAAAAACGTGGCCCACATTGATTATATATGATTGACAAAAATAAATAAATAAAAAAGATAATTAATAGTAAGTAGTATGTGATGGTGAAACAAAAGATACAAGGATTATTAGAGATATTATTATTATTATTATTATTATTATTAATATTATAAAGTTTTGTAAATACCGAAAAAGAGATATTAATAAATCGATACTTATGCAAATGTCAAAAAAAAAAAAAATGGTTTTTTTATTTTATATTTTACACTATCCGACGGCCGTCTTCCGTATTGATTTTTG